CCTCGCAGGCAGGTCGCCTGGACTCTGGCACCGCCCCCCATAGTCTGGGCCTGCTCTGGGTCCATGTCCCCCCTCCTCCGGCCGGCCCCCGCCGACGCCACCTCTTCAGCCCAGACCACAGCTCCAAAGGCGGTCCGAGGACGCGGCCGCCCGTGACAGCTCGGTCGCCACACAAAGGGGCCCAGCGACCAACAGCCTGCCCCTTCGGGTCCCCTCGGGCAATTGCCGGGAGACCCGGCTGGCCCTGGAGCCACCTCGCCCTGCGGGGCCCGGTGGCCGCACTGGACTCCTGGGGTGGGGCAGTAGGAATGGGGCGTGTTTCTGGGCGGGGCTAGGGGCGCCCGCATCAGTGCCAGGACCAGTGTGTCCCCAAGGGTGCTCCTGGAGCGGGGCCAGCGGCAGATATCAGGCGACTGTGTTCACATCAGCTCAGCTGGTCTGCCAGCCTGTCAGGGCCCCAGTGCACTTGGCTTGGGGGAGGAGGAGGGGCCCCGGGTGTTCCAGATCACCTCCCTTGTGGGCGGCTCTCAAGTCTCCGAGCAGATGAAGTTGTAAAACCAAGTTTCCTTTCTGCACAAGCTCTCCACCTGGTGGGCGCAGTCCTGCGCTTGCTACAACTTTACAAACGCCTGCCTGTGTCTGGAGCTCCCAAGGGCGTTAAGAATGACATTACTGGCCTCTTCGTTTTTTCATACGCTGAGCTGACCTGTTACTGAAATACTTCACTGACGCCACCCACTGCTGTGTTTTTGCCGACAAGTACAACAGCTTCGTCCCTGAGAGGGACGGGGACCTCTGGCCCTGAGGGAGGTGGTTTCCCTGCCGTGGCTATCACAGGTGTTCTTACCTTTTCAGGAAAGTGGAGCATCATTGCATTTGCGTTACACCCGTGGACATTTTACAATAAAACTTATCAGAAAGTTCCCTGATTCAGTCTTGTTCCAAATTTGTCTGGCCGTCGTCTCATATCAGTTTAAATAGACTAGCTCTTTACCCTCCTGGGACAGGATGCTGCTGCCCCTCCAGAGGAGGCCTGAGAGCCCCCGGGGAGGAGGCGCTGGTGCTGCCCGGCCTGCTGCAGGGTTTACGGCCCCCTGGGCGGACGACGACAAGGCTCAGGAAGAGAATGTTGGCGGGTGCCCTACAGCCAGTGGTGCTACAGGGAGCCGGGGGGAGAGGTGGGTGCAGGCTGGGTCACTGGGCGGGCTTCTCAGAGTGGGGTCAGCAATATCTTCAGCCGGAGGCCCTGAGAGGGTGAAGGGAATCCAGTCCTCACAACGCCCGCTGGGCAGAAATGGCTGCTTTACCCAAGGCTTCCTTCTGGTACTTTAGCTGGCGGCTCACCTCCCTTTTCAAAGGGCCTCACCCGTCACTCACATCCCCTTTGCCCACCTCACACTTACACGTTTTAGGGTTTGTGTGTTTGCTGTCCTCTCCCCCAACCTGGAACAGCTGCTCCACTGGGACTTGCCTGTTCTGTTCACTGTATGACCAGCTCTGGGAACAATGACTGGCACATCTCAAGAGCAAATGCCTCCCCATTTTACAGATGGGGAACTGGGGCTCCCAGGGGTGAGAGTCACCCAGCCAGCAAGTGACAGGGGAGGAGGCTGACCCCGGTCACTGTATCCCACACCCGCTGCCCTGGGAAGGTTGCTCTGCGCTGGGCAGGCTGCCCTGTCCTCCTCCTGTCCTCCAGGGATGGTGGTTCTAGACGACACTGTCGTGTCCTCAGACAGATGGGGAGGCTGTTACCCTATTCACCTCCTTCCCAGTTCCATCCTCCTCTTGGGGAAGCGTTGAAAGAAAATGTGCACTTTTCCTCCGACACGAAGGAGGAGGAAGAGGAGGGCTGGGTGCTGGCGAGAGGTCCGTGGAGGGGGCATCAGACTCCATGGGTGTGGAAACAAATATTTACTATTTTACGGTAATGTCCTATTTGGAAAGCTAACAAAAACTCTTTTTGTTTCCAGAACGTGAAACCCCAGAGAATCTTCCAGGTTGGTGGAGATACTGAGAAAAGAGATTTTCTCTAAAATTAGTGATTCTCAACTAAGCAGGGACTGGTGTGGGTTCTATGCGGGCCCCTCCAGGGTGTGATGGAAGAAAGGAGGTGCTGACCTGCTGGGCAGGGATGTGCCAGTATCCTGTCTGGCCTCTCAGGGCGCCCTGGGTCCCCGTGATACCCCGGGACGGTGCTGGGTGGGTTTGTTGCTGAGTCAGTCCCATCCCCTGCGGGACAACAGCTGAGAGCCCTCCTGCCAGACAGCACAGGTGACACAATCACAGCTGAGCTGGCACCACCTCCTGAGGCCCACGGGAGCCCACAGCCAGGGCAGGGGAAGGCTGCTGGGTGCTGGGGAGCTGGTGGCACAGGGGGCACACTGGCTCTGGCGGGCAGAGCAGCCAGAGGCTGACCAGCCCACCTGCCTGTCTACCCATGGCCTCCTTCCGCCAGGGCCAGAGCGGGGCCTGTGGTCTCTCCAGCTGGGCTGGATGTCTGGAGGGAAGGGCCAAGGCTCTCCATTTCTGGAAGCCGAGACAAAGCAGCGCTGTGTGACCCCTCCCTGACACGTGGCATCGTGGCACAGCCTTTGAAGTCCAGCAGTCTGGCTCCAAACTCCAAGTTACCCATCGCACCTGAGCCTCGGTTTCCTCGTCTGTCAGCTGGGGACGCTCCTCTCACCCAGTGCGGACGCTCCTCTCACCCAGTGCGGCTACGATGGGTGAGTGCCTGCCCCCAGGAGGCCAGCAGGGAGCGGGGCCACTCCCGACTTTGCCTCTCTCATCAGGAGAAGCCGAATTCCTCTCCCTTCACACCTGCCCAGGAGAAAGCCGGGGAGAGGAGGACTGCTCAGCCATCCCGCAGGATCAGGGGCGGTGTGGACGGGGGCAGCTGACTGTAAAGCCGGTTGGGGGCACAGGGGAGGAGCCCCTGTGAGGCTCTGCTCCCTCTGGGGGCACCTCCAGGAGGCTGGGTGGAGGCTGCACAGGGGGAAGGGAGGCAGTGAGGAGAGTCAGGCCCCGCAGGGAGGGACGGCGCCTGCGTGCCGGGCTGGGCTGCCTCGGGGCCCTCAGGCAGAGCTGGCCCGGGCCTGTGTGTTTTCGGATCTCTTGGTGGCTGTGCCACAAGGCGCAGAGCCCATCCAGCCACCTGTAACTAAAGCAGCCTGTGAATCTTTCATGTGCTTGTGCTTAAAAATAGATGAGGTGAGGTGACAGCACCCAATTCCCAGGTCTCTGCAGTGGGTGGTGCCAGGACCACACACTCCCCAGGGAGGCAGGGAGGGAGGGCAAGGGCCCTCTCAGCAGGCCAGGGCTCTGGGGGGTGCTGGCCCAGCCACGTGGAGCTGGGGACATGTGGCCTGGGCTCAGGGGCCAATGGGAAATCACCATCTGGATGTACCATCCCGTCCTCCTGGGTTACAAGGCTGGGGGCATGGTCTCGGAGGGGCAGAGCAACACTCTGCATGATCCTTCTCCTCCCGAGTGGGATTCTGGGCCAGGAGACAGAGGGACAGAGGAGGACAGAGAGAATGACAGAAGAGTAGGGGCGATGCCATGGGACAGAGGAGGGGAGACAGAGCCAGAGCCGGAGGCCCCGGGGGTGAGGCCCTTTCTGTAGCGGCCCCTCACCTTCCCAAAGGAGCTGCGCCCCTGAGGCGGCAGCCCCCACACAGCCTCTCACTCCCACGGCATGCATGTCTAAGTTCCAGCCCGAGAGCCTGGGGCCCCAACGGTCCGGCCAGCCTTCCTCTAACATCAGCTGGTCCTCAGAGATGCCTCGCCCAGCCCCCCACTGGAAAGTCAGGAACACAGGGGCCCAGAAGAGCGAGAGGACACCCCAGGTCCCCGGCCAGCAAGATGGAGTGAGAGCCAGAGTTTGGTGCGGGCGTTAGAGCCCAGGGTCAGTCTCCTGTGGCCCAGGCCTGCCCAGCCCCCTGGGGGACCTCAGCCGGCCCTTCCTCTCTGGGCCTCAGTTTCCTTAGCTGTGCAAAGGGGACAATGGCAGGCACCTGGGGACCTCGTGAGATGAAAGGGGACAGGCCAAATGTGAGATGCCAGGCCTGTCAGAGCTCTGCCTCTGGCCACCTCACCCCTGGCCCAGCTGGCGTCCAGACTCAGTCAGCTGCCCGGGGCTCCCAGGCCAGCTGGCAGGACTGGACGGGGTTGGAGGCCAGCAGGCCGCCCTCTGCCTCGCCTACCCACTCGGCTGCTGGCTGTGGGGCTGCCTCCCTGGGCCTGCCTCTCACCGCTGGGGATGGAGGAGGCCCAAGCCCAAGAGAAGAGGGGCCAGGGGCTGGGAGTGTCCTCTCCGTGTGAAGGCCAACAACCTGCCTCTGATGGTGAGGGGGGCAGGGCGGGACAGGGTGTGGGGGGGAAGGATGGAGGGAGGGGCGGGGAGGGCTCTGCTCTGCTAGTCGGGCCTCCTTCGTTCTTCCCCTGAATATGTTGCTCCCCCAACCTGCCCGTGGGCCCCGAGTCCAGCCCCATCACTCTGGCCAGGACGTCTTTCAGCTCTGGCCGTGAGCCCTGCCTGCGATTTCTCCCTTTTCCTCAGGGTGATCCCTTGGCAAGATGAGGCAGAAGGTGGGAGGTTGGAAACTCAGCTCTGCAGAGACCTAGGCCTGAATCCACCCGCCATCGCTGGCTGGTGACCCTTCCCCTCTGTGGGCCACCGTCCCTCCT